AAAAAAAAAAAAAGAAGCTATCCATTTCTACTCATCCAGAGTCACAATCCAGGAAATTAAAGAGCCACATTTTAAATTCAGGCTATTTGGCTTCACTCTAAATTGGCAAATTCTGTTCCATACCAACTGTCATAAGTCACTAAGGTTTTTTTTAGTTGTAGATATTGGGAATTACATGAACTACTTAATAACTTTCTATTTTTTTAAAGAAATAGCCAAGATAGAAGCTTGCAAAATGATTAATAGTAATGTACTTTATTAATGTATGTCAGGTGTACAAATGAGTGGTATTTCCACATATAGATTTAGTATGCTTTGATTGTATTTACTTTCTCCATTATTCTTTTTCTTTTTTCTTTTTTTTTTTTTGGGTCCAGTCATGGGGCCTGAATTCTGGGCCTGGGCACTGTCCCTCAGCTCTTCAGCTCAAGGCTAGCACCCTACCACTTGAGCCACAGCGCCACTTCCGGCTTTTTTTCTTTTTTTGCTTATGTGGTGCTGGGGAATCGAACCCAGGGCCTCATGCATGCAAGGCAGGCACTCTACCACTGAGCCACCTTCCCAGCCCTCCATTATTTTTTCTTATTCCCTTTCTCTTTCTTCTTCCTCATTTTTTTTGGTGGGTCTTGGGGTTTGAACTCAGGGCCTAGGCACTGTGCCTGGCTTCTTTTGTTCAAGACTAGTGCTCTACCACTTGAGCCACAGTACCACTTCTGGGCTTTCCTGAGTAGTTTATTTATTTTTTTTTGTTGGTCGTGGGGCTTGAACTCTGGGCCTGGGCGCTGTCCCTCAGCTCTTCAGCTCAAGGCGAGCGCTCTACCACTTGAGCTACAGCGCCACTTCCGGTTTTTCTGATGGTTTATTGGAGATAGGAGTCTCACGGTCTCTCCTGCCCGGGCTGGCTTTGAACCGCGATCCTCAGATCTCAGCCTCCTGAGTAGCTAGGATTACAGGCGTGAGCCACCAGCGCCCGGCTTCTTGAGTAGTTTATTGTAAATGAGAGTCTCACAGACTTTCCTGGGTGGGGTGGTTTCAAACTGCAATTTTCATATCTCAGCCTGAGTCACTGGTGCTTGGCTTTTTTTTTTTTTTTTGTCAGTCGTGGGGCTTGAACTCTGGGCCTGGGCGCTGTCCCTCAGCTCTTCAGCTCAAGGCGAGCGCTCTACCACTTGAGCTACAGCGCCACTTCCAGTTTTCTGGTGGTTTATTGGAGATAGGAGTCTCAGGGTCTTTCCTGCCCGGGCTGGCTTTGAACCGCGATCCTCAGATCTCAGCCTCCTGAGTAGCTAGGATTATAGGAGTGAGCCACCAGCGCCCGGCTGTGCTTGGCTTTTTTTTTGTTGTTGTTTTGTTTTGATTTGTTGGTCATGGGGCTTGAACTCTGAGCCTGGGCGCTGTCCCTGAGCTCTTCAGCTCTTCAGGTGAGCGCTATCCTACTTGAACCACAGCACCATTTCCAGTTTTCTGGTGGTTAATTGGAGATAAGAGTCTCAAGAACTTTCTTGCCCTGGCATGAGCCACTGCTGGCCCAGTTTTTCTTGTTTTTACAATTTTTAATGAGTTTTACTACTTTTGTTGTTTTTGTTGGTCATGGGGCTTGAACTCTGGGCCTGGGCACTGTCTCTCAGCTCTTTAGCTCAAGGCTAGCACTCTACCACTTGAGCCACAGCTCCATTTCCCACTTTTTCTGCTTATGTGGTGCTGAGGAATCGAACCCAGGGCCTCATGCATGTGAGACAAGCACTCTACCACTGAGCCACCTTCCCAGCCAAGTTTTACTATTTCTGTACATAGATAAATTACACTTCATTCATATTCACCCCCATCATCTTCTCTTGTTCTTTTATCCTTGCCGGTCCCTTTCAATAATCAACATTTTACATTTGTGTCATTTTTTTCTGAAAGAGACGAAACATCAGTTTGTCTTTTTGAGTCTTGTTTTGTTTAACATGATAATCTCCAGTTCCATAAAATTTCCTGCAAATGTCATAATTTTCTTCTTTATGGCTGAATGATACTCCATTGTGTATATATAGCACATTTTGTTTATTCACTTATCGGTTGTTATGTTCATATGGTGAGTCTATAGCTTAGCTGTTGTGAATAGTCCTACAATAAACATTATTGTAACATGAGAATTTAATTTTTTTTTTTTTTTTGCCAGTTTTGGGGCTTGAACTCAAGGTCTGGGCACTGTCCCTGAGCTTCTTTTTTGCTCAAGGCTATCACTCTACCAGTTGAGCCGTAGAGCTACTTCCATCCTCTTCTGTTTATGTGGTACTGAGGAATTGATCCAGGGCTTCATGCATGCTAGGCAAGCACTCTACCACTAAGCCACCTTCCCAGCCCCAATTTAATAAATTTTGTTATCCCTTTTCCCTTCCCCTTGCTCAGTTCTTCTGCCCTGCTTCTTTCAGCTGAGACTCAGCTCCAAAGAAGTAGGGAAGAATTTCAGGTTTTGCTCTGGAGTGCATTAAAGAATATGATCATTTTCTTGTAATAGGCCATGGAGCAGATGAATAGCTGCACAGCTCTTCAGCACCTTGATTTGTCAGACAATAACATACCTCAGATAGGTGACTTATCTAAATTGAGATCCCTGAAGGTAAGCATGTTTTCTATGTCATTTTTATTGTTGTATTCCAAAATAACAAGGGAAAGTGATCTGATTAGCCTAAAACTACCTTACCATATATGAAGAATAAATTAGTTTTAAGAGTTCTACTAGAGTACTAGAAATTAAGTATGAGGCATTTTTTTTGTTCATCTTTTCTTTTCTTTTTTTTCCTTTATCTTTTTTGGGGATGGGAGAAGGGCAGTCTCTCATTGTCCCAGGCTGGTCTTGAGCTACTCTGCTCAAGTGAATACTGGTCCTGGGATTTAAACTGTAGGCCTGGGCTCTTCCTAAGTGATACTGGTCCTGGGGTTTAAACTGTAGGCCTGGGCTCTTCCTAAGCTTTTGTGCTCAACGCTAGTGTTTTCCCACTTGAGCCATAGCTCCACTTCTAGCTTTTTTGGAGTAATTTATTGTAATAAGAGTCTCATGGACTTTACTGCCCAGGCTGGCTTCAAACTTTAGTCCTCAGATCTTTGCCTCCTAGGTAGCTAGGATTACAGGTGTGAGCCATTATAGACATGAGCCACTGGTGCCCAGCCATATTGCACTTTTTATGGCAGAGAATGTATTATACATTCAAATAACAGATGGAATCAACAGTTTCAAAAATCTTTTGGGCTTTTTCTTTACTTTTCTTTCATTGGGTCAAATGGATGCTTAGAAGCCTTAGAAGCATTATCTTAGCTCTGTTCTCACATCTCAAGTAGAAATCATTTTTAGTAATCCTTATTCTAAACAGCCAGGTGCTGTCCTGAGAGATGCTAAGAGAATTCTCATGAACAGAAGGTGATAGAATATGTGAGTGTGTGTGTGTATGTGTGTGTGTGTGTGTGTGTCTGTGTGTGTATCTGTGTGTGTGTTTCTGTCTGTCTTCATGTTCTGGAATGGAGGTATGGTAATCTGATCATAATCCTGGGTATTCAGAGTGATGAATTTGTTGCTGATTTATGTGACATTCTACCTTCCTCTGGCTCTTAGTTACTAAAAACTATATAGTTGTAAGTATGAGATGTGCCTTACCTCTCTGTTTTGGAAACTTTGCTTTAAAATTTAGCATTTAAAAGGAAGTAAGTGTGCTGGAAATTGCTTTGCATCTAATCTCATAGCATGTTAGTTACTTCATTAAGCATGCATCCCTAGACTAGGTTTTAACCTTCCTTGAGCTTCAGATGTTAAGATGTTGATATGAAAGTGAAACCAAAAGTTCACTTAGGATCCTTCTAAGTATTAATAGTCTTTGATTTGTGTATAATGAGAAGTACAACAATAGATTTCTTTGTTCATTTTATTTGTTTTATTTTGTGCTGATACTGGGACTTGAACTTAGAGCCTAAATCTTTTGCTTCATCTGCTTGTCCTTGGCCAGCATTCTGCTACTGGAGCCATGCCTCTTTCGTGCTATGTTTTGCAGATTATTTGGAGATGATTTCGAAGACTTTTCTGCATGGGCTAGCTTCAAACTGCAATCCTTCACATCTTAGTCTCCTAAGTAGCTAGGATTATAGGTGTGATATTGTCAAAACAGAACAGAATCATTTGTATCTATTCATTTGTAATGAATCCATACTATTTTTATTTTCAAGACACTGCTTTTACATGGAAACATCATCACCTCTCTTAGAATGGCACCTGCTTATCTACCCAGAAGTCTTGCTATACTTTCTTTGGCAGAAAATGAAATTCGGGACTTAAATGAGGTAAAATTTGAAGATACTTTATACGACCCAGGAAAGTGGAGAGTCTAAGAGAGACAGAGGACTGGTTTGTGAGCTCCTTTTATGCTTTGAGCATCTTAGAAGAAAATGCCATCATGATAAAACCACTTGACCTTAGAATGCTCACTTTTTTTTTTTTTTTTTCCCTACTTTCCTTTATTTTGTGTGGGCTAGTATTGGTACCTAAACTCAGGGTCTGGGCATTGTTCTTTAGCTTTTTTACTCAGGGCTAGTGCTCTACCACTTGAGCTGCAGCTCTACTCTGGCTTTTTGGTGGTTAATTAGAGATAAGAGTCTCATAGACTTTCCTGCCTGGGCTGGCTTTGAACCACAATCCTTAGATCTCAACTTTCATAGTAGCTAGGATTACAGGCATGAGCCAATGTCACCCAGCTCTTTTCTTTTGTCTTTTTTTTTTTTTTTGCCAGTCCTGGGGCTTGAACTCAGGCCCTGGGCACTGTCCATAGCTTCTTTTGCTCAGAGCTATAGCATTCTACCACTTGAGCTGCAACACCACTTCCAGCCTTTTCTGTTTGTGTGGTATTGAGGAATTGGACCCCAGTCTTCATGCATGCTAGGCAAGCATTCTACCACTAAGCCACATTCCCAGCCCTCCTACTCTCTTAATGTGGGTCACTCATTAAAGCTTGGTTTCATTTGTAGTGCTGTAATTAGCATCCCTTGGAAGATGATTGTTGGTAGAGGTTAATAAGGCATATTTTCCACCTTACCCTAGCTGTTCTTTATTTTCAAAGTAGTATTCTCTTTGCTGGGAAATAGTGCTGTTACTTTGTAAGGACTCTTTGTGCAGCAATGAAAAATGGCTGTATTGTTGAAATTTTAGAAGTCAGAGGCTAATAGAAGAGTAGTACTTACTGCTTTCCAGAATAAGAGGGAAATTGTTTCATTCTCAAATGATGCCAAAGGGTGTGTAATCAGTTGAAGCACATTCACAGTGAATAGTCTATTTTGTTCATCAAAGATATTCTTTGTTCCAGATCTCTTATTTGGCATCCCTTACTGAATTGGAACAGTTGTCAATTATGAACAATCCTTGCGTGATGGCAACACCTTCCATTCCAGGGTTTGACTACCGGCCATATATCGTCAGCTGGTGTTTAAATCTCAGAGTCCTTGATGGATATGTGATTTCTCAGAAGGAAAGGTGAATACTTCTTTGGTATCATATTAATTATGAAAGTTAACAAAAAGATCATTTTTAGCTTAATTACATATTAACTACAGATTAATAAATTGAATATTTCTTACAAGCTGTGGTTAGAAATTAAGATAATGGGGCTGGGCAGGTGGCTCAGTGGTAGAGTGCTTGCCTTGCATGCATAAGGCCCTGGGTTCGATTCCTCAGCACCACATAAGCCGAAAAAGATGAAAGTGACACTGTGGCTCAAGTGATAGAATGCTAGCCTTGAGCTGAAGAGCTGAGGGACAGCGCCCAGGCCTATAACTGACCAAAAAAAAGAAATGAAGATAATGCATATAGTAGCATATAGAAAATTATACACTGGTCTATGTGCTGGTCACTTGGGACTGTTTCCCCTTTCTTAAAAAAGGACAAGGTATGAATATCAGCTATAGAGGTTGGAGCCTTTGGATCTAACTTAATATTCATAACAATTTACTTTCTAAAAGTTCTTTTGTTAACTCTGTTAGGAATTTAGAACACTTTTGCATAGATACTAGGTTATGTATTTTTTTTTTTTATTGTAAAGATACTATATGGAGGGTTACAGTTACATGAGTGAGGTAATGAGTACACTTCCTCTTGAACATTGTTACCCCCTCCATTGTTTTCCCCCTACCATCCCCTCCCTCCCTCCCTTCCCCGAGGTTCTTTTTTTTTTTTCTTTTTTGATTGTGATTAAGTGATTACATAATTTCCGGAAATTCACAGTATTGTGGAATAATGATGCTCAATTAAAATCACGAGTTCATTCTAACTTTCCTGGAGCAAATTGTCTATCACAGTCTGTAATATATAACGGTGTTCACATGTTATATACCATATATGTGATCAGCAGCATGGGGATATTTAGTAGTGGTTCAACCAGATGAGTGGGAGTTCTTTGTTTCTTAAGTCCTGTTAGTTTTGTCGTATCATCTAACATTTTGGATTTAGCATCCACTTATCAGGGAGACCATGTACCGTTTGTCTCTTCGTTCTTGGCTTACCTCACTCAACATGATTCCTTCTAGCTCCATCCATTTCCCTGCAAATGCCATTATTTTGTCATTTCTAATGGCTGCATAATATTCCATTGTGTATAGATACCACAATTTTTGGATCCATTCATCTGTGGTGGGGCATCTGGGTTGTTTCCATATCCTAGCTATTGTGAACAGTGCTGCAATAAACATGGAGGTGCACGTGTCCTTGTATATTGGTTCCTGTTGTTCAGGGTAGATGCCTAGAAGTGGTATGACTGGGTCGTAAGGGAGGTCAATCTTTAGCTTTCTAAGGACCCTCCAGACTGCTTTCCAAAGTGGTTATATAAGTGTACATTCCCATCAGCAGTGTAATAGGGTTCCTCTTTTCTCCACATCCCCTCCAGCATTTGTCGTTGGCTGATTTGTGGATGTGGGACATTCTGACTGGGGTAAGGTGGTATCTCAGGGTTGTCTTTATTTGCATTTCCTTCACCACCAGGGATGATGAACATTTCCTCATGTGTTTCTTTGCCATTTTTATTTCTTCATTTGAGAAGTCCCTCTTTAGTTCCCTTGCCCATTTAGTAATTGGTTTGTTAGGTTTGGGAGGGATTAGTTTCTTGAGTTCCCTGTATATACAGGATGTTAACCCCTTGTCTGATATATTGCTGGTAAATATTTTTTCCCAATTAGTTGGTTGTCTTTCTAGCTTAGTTACGATAGATTTAGCTGTGCAGAAGCTTTTTATTTTAAGGTAGTCCCATTTGTCGAGTCTCTCTCCAACTTGTTGTGACCCTGGGACTCTGTTCAGGAAGTTCCTTCCTGTGCCTATTAGTTCAAGTGTCTCTCCTACTCTGTCCTGCAGTAGTTTCAGAGATTCAGGTTTAATGTTAAGGTCTTTAATCCATTTTGAGTTGATGTTGGTGCATGGTGATAGGCTGGGGTCCACTTTTAGTTTTCTGCATGTGGCTGCCCAGTTTTCCCAGCACCAGCGGTTGAAGAGGCTGTGTTTCTTCCATTGTATGTCTTTGGCTCCTTTGTCGAATATCAGCTGGCTGTAGGCCTGTGGATTTATTTCTGGATCTTCTATTCTGTTCCATTGGTCTTCGGGTCTGTTTTTGTGCCAGTACCATGCTGTCTTTGTTATTATAGCTCTGTAGTGGAGTTTGAAGTTCGGCATGGATAGCCCTCCCATATTGTCTTTATCCCCTAAAATTGTTTTGGCTATTCTAGGTCTTTTGTTGTTCCATATGAATTTTTGGACTGTTTTCTGTATTTCAGTGATGTACGTCATTGGGATTTTAATAGGAATTGCATTGAATTTATATATTAGTTTTGGAAGTATTATCCAGGAGCATGGGAGGTCTTTCCATTTCCTAGTGTCTTCTGCAATTTCTTTCTTTAACTTTTTATAGTTCTCATTAAATAGTTCTTTTACATCTTTGGTTAGGTTAATTCCTAAATATTTTATTTTTTGGGAGGTTATTGTGAATGGGGTTGTTCCCTTTATTTCCCTCTCTTCTTGTACATTGTCAGTGTATAGGAAGGCAACTGATTTTTGTGGGTTTATTTTGTATCCTGCTATTTTGCCGAAGTGATTTATGATTTCTAAGAGTTTGGGGATGGAGTTTTTGGGATCGTGAAGGTATAGTATCATGTCGTCTGCAAAAAGGGATAGTTTAACTTCTTCTTTCCCTATGCGGATCCCTTTAATGTCTTTTTCTTGCCTTATTGCCCTGGCTAAGGGTTCTAGGACTATATTGAAGAGGAGTGGAGACAGTGGGCATCCTTGCCTTGTTCCTGATTTTAGGAGAATTGGTTGTAGCTTTTCCCCATTAAGTATAATATTGGCTATTGGTCTGTCATAAACGGCTTTTATTGTTTTTAGAAATGTTCCTTCTATTCCTATTTTCTCCAGAGCTTTTAGCATGAATGAATGTTGAATTTCATCAAAGGCCTTTTCTGCATCTGTGGCAATAATCATGTGATTCTTGACCTTGGCTCTGTTGATATGCTGGATTACATTTATTGACTTACATATGTTAAACCATCCCTGTGTCTCTGGGATGAAGCCTACCTGGTCATAGTGTATTATTTTTTTTTATGTGTTTCTGGATTCTGTTAGCTAGAATCTTGTTAAGGATCTTTGCATCTGTGTTCATCAAGGAAATTGGCCTGTAGTTCTCCTTTTTGGTTGGGTCTTTGCCTGGTTTGGGGATGAGTGTGATATTGACTTCGTAGAATGAGTTTGGGATAGCTCCCTCCTTCTCTGTTTCTCTGAAGAGCTTGAGGAGTATGGGTATTAGTTCTTGTTTAAAGGTCTTATAGAATTCTGCTGTGAATCCATCTGGTCCTGGGATTTTTTTTGTTGGAAGACTTTTGATAGCTTCCTGTATCTTAGCTATGGTAAATAATGCTGTGGTCAGAAGCCGGGCGCTGGTGGCTCACGCCTGTAATCCTAGCTACTCAGGAGGCTGAGATCTGAGGATCGCGGTTCAAAGCCAGCCCGGGCAGGAGAGACCGTGAGACTCCTATCTCCAATAAACCACCAGAAAACCGGAAGTGGCGCTGTAGCTCAAGTGGTAGAGCGCTCGCTGTTCTGGTAGCATTAGTATGGCCATAAAGATCTTTTTATTGTTTTAAAAATTGGCACATTCTCTAAATTTTTACTTTATTGACTTTTTTTTTTTTTTGGTTGGTTATGGGGCCTGAACTCTGGGTCTGAGTGCTGTCCTTCAGCTCTTCAGCGCAAGGCAAGCGCTCTACCACTTGGGCCACAGCGCCACTTCTGCCTTTTTCTGCTTATGTGGTGCTGAGGAATTGAACCCAGGGCCTCAGGCATGCAAGGCAAGCGCTCTACCATTTAGCCACTTTCCCAGCCCAGTTTTTTTTTTAATTTTATTGTAAAGGTGATATATAGAGGGGTTGCAGTTACACGTCAGATAATAAGTGCCCTTCTTTTAGAATACCTCTTCCCTCCTTTTCTCCCAGTTTTTTCCCTCCTGATCACCCCTGACCCCAGGTTGTAGAGTTCATCCTCAACATAGTGTCGAGAGTATCACTGTGGAATTAGTTCACCCTTTGTCTCACCATTTCTGTGTGATTTCATTTTAAAACTTGTAAACTTCAAAGCTTTTAAATGTTATAAATTTAGTAATAACTAATAAACTGTGTTCATTTTGTTAAGGTAAATTTCTCTATCCACAAATGTTATTCAAATTTATTATCTCCCTTGTCTCTTAACTGTGTTATCTAAACCTGTAAATAAATATATTCCTGAACTCACTCCATTATAAGTTTCCTTCCTGTCCATGTTCCACCTTTCAATGCATCCTTGTTATATGAGCAGTTTAACTTTTCTAAAACACAAGTTTCATTGTACCAGTCTCTCACTCAAAACCACCAAGTGAAAATGCGTGGAATGAATAGTAGGAAGTAGTGTGACGCCAACTGATGTTTATCCTTTGAATTTCAAGTGAGAAGTTTGTTGTTTTTTTTTGGGGGGGGGGGGTCCGGTTGTGGGGCTTGAACTCTGGGCCTGGGAACTGTCCCTCAGCTCTTCAGCTCAAGGCTAGCGCTCTACCACTTGAGCCACAGCACCACTTCTGGCTTTTTTCTTTTTTTTTTTTTTTTGGCTTTTTTCTTTTTGCTTATGTGGTGCTAAGGAATCGAACCCAGGGCCTCACACATGCAAGGCAAGCGCTCACCACTGAGCTACCTTCCCAGCCCCTCAAGTGGGAAGTTTTTAAAGAGGAAATTCATGAGATAAAGGACATTGTTTTTATCCATTCATGCCAGTAAGAGTGGACAGGTAAATTAGAGATAATGGAGATGAATCCGGGTGATCAGCTGTTGAGAATCAGTTATACTGTGCTGAAAAGTGAAAGTCTTTTTTTTTAAAGAATTTAGACTGCCGGGCTGGGAAGGTGGCTCAGTGGTAGAGTGCTTGCCTTGCATGCCTGAGGCCCTGGGTTCGATTCCTCAGCACCACATAAGCAA